GGGCGGTGTGGGCGGTGTGGGCGGTGTGGGCGGTGGGGGCGGTGGGGGCGGTGTGGGCGCGGGGGGGTCCGGGCACACATTGGCAGCCTTTAAATACTCTTTACTCTTTAAACTCTCTTAAACACCTACAAATACAGCGGGCGGTGAGAGCGGTGGAGACGGTGGGAACGGTGAAAGCGGTGGAGGGGGATGAAGGTGGTGGGGGTGGTGAGGGCGGTGAGGGCGGTGTGGGCGGTGGGGGCGGTGTGGGCGGTGGGGGCGGTGTGGGCGCGCGGGGGTCCGGGCACACATTGGCAGCCTTTAAATACTCTTTACTCTTTAAACACCTACATATACAGCGGGCGGTGAGAGCGGAACGGTGAAAGCGGTGGAGGGGGATGAAGGTGGTGGGGGTGGTGAGGGCGGTGAGGGCGGTGTGGGCGGTGTGGGCGGTGGGGGCGGTGTGGGCGGTGTGGGCGCGGAGGGGTCCGGGCACACATTGGCAGCCTTTAAATACTCTTTACTCACTCTTTAAACACCTACAAATACAGCGGGCGGTGAGAGGGGTGGAGACGGTGGGAACGGTGAAAGCGGTGGAGGGGGATGAAGGTGGTGGGGGTGGTGACGGCGGTGAGGGCGGTGTGGGCGGTGGGGGCGCGGGGGGGTCCGGGCACACATCGGCAGCCTTTAAATACTCTTTTTAAACACCTACAAAAACAGCGGGCGGTGAGAGCGGTGGAGACGGTGGGAACGGTGAAAGCGGTGGAGGGGGATGAAGGTGGTGGGGGTGGTGAGGGCGGTGGGGGCGGTGTGGGCAGTGGGGGCGGTGTGGGCGGTGGGGGCGCGGGGAGGTCCGGGCACACATCGGCAGCTTTTAAATACGCTTTACTCTTTAAACACCTACGAGAGCGGTGGAGACGGTGGCAACGGTGAAAGCGGTGGAGGGGGATGAAGGTGGTGGGGGTGGTGAGGGCGGTGAGGGCGGTGTGGGCGGTGGGGGGTGTGGGCGGTGTGGGCGGTGTGGGCGCGGGGGGGTCCGGGCACACATTGGCAGCCTTTAAATATTTTTTACTCTTTAAACACCTACAAATACAGCGGGCGGTGAGAGCGGTGGAGACGGTGGGAACGGTGAAAGCGGTGGAGGGGGAGGTGGGGGTGGTGAGGGCGGTGAGGGCGGTGTGGGCGGTGGGGGCGGTGTGGGCGGTGTGGGTGGGCGGTGCGGACGGTGGGGGCGCGGGGGGGTCCGGGCACACATTGGAAGGCTTTAAATACTCTTTACTCTTTAAACACCTACAAATACAGCAGGCGGTGAGAGCGGTGGAGACGGTGGGAACGGTGAAAGCGGTGGAGGGGGATGAAGGTGGTGGGGGTGGTGAGGGCGGTGAGGGCGGTGTGGGCGGTGGGGGCGGTGTGGGCGGTGGGGGCGCGGGGGGGTCCGGGCACACATTGGCAGCCTTTAAATATACTCTTTACTCTTTAAACACCTACAAATACAGCGGGCAGTGAGAGCTGTGGAGACGGTGGGAACGGTGAAAGCGGTGGAGGGGGATGAAGGTGGTGGGGGTGGTGAGGGCGGTGAAGGCGGTGTGGGCGGTGGGGGCGGTGTGGGCGGTGGGGACAATGTAAGCGGTGTGGGCGCGGTGGGTCCGGGCACACATTGGCAGCCTTTAAATACTCTTTACTCTTTAAACACCTACAAGTACAGCGGGCGGTGGAGACGGTGGGAACGGTGAAAGCGGTGGAGGGGGATGAAGGTGGTGGGGGTGGTGAGGGCGGTGAGGGCGGTGTGGGCGGTGGGGGCGGTGTGGGCGGTGTGGGCGGTGGGGGTGCGGGGTGGTCCGGGCACACATCGGCAGGCTCTAAATACTCTTTACTCTTTAAACACCTACAAATACAGCGGGCGGTGAGAGCGGTGGAGACGGTGGGAACGGTGAAAGCGGTGGAGGGGGATGAAGGTGGTGGGGGTGAGGGCGGTGAGGGCGGTGTGGGCGGTGGGGGCGGTGTGGGCGGTGGGGGCGGTGTGGGCGCGGGGGGGTCCGCGCACACATTGGCAGCCTTTAAATACTCTTTACTCTTTAAACACCTACATATACAGAGAGCGGTGGAGACGGTGGGAACGGTGAAAGCGGTGGAGGCACAGTGGCGGTGGATGAAGGTGGTTGGGGGTGGTGAGGGCGGTGAGGGCGGTGTGGGCGGTGGGGGCGGTGGGTGCGCAGGGGGGGCCGGGCACACATTGGCAGCCTTTAAATACTCTTTACTCTTTAAACACCTACAAATACAGCGGGCAGTGAGAGCTGTGGAGACGGTGGGAACGGTGAAAGCGGTGGAGGGGGATGAAGGTGGTGGGGGTGGTGAGGGCGGTGAAGGCGGTGTGGGCGGTGGGGGCGGTGTGGGCGGTGGGGACGGTGTGGGCGGTGTGGGCGGTGTGGGCGCGGGGGGGTCCGGGCACACATTGGCAGCCTTTAAATACTCTTTACTCTTTAAACACCTACAAGTACAGCGGGCGGTGAGAGCGGTGGAGACGGTGGGAACGGTGAAAGCGGTGGAGGGGGATGAAGGTGGTGGGGGTGGTGAGGGCGGTGAGGGCGGTGTGGGCGGTGGGGGCGGTGTGGGCGGTGTGGGCGGTGTGGGCGGTGGGGGTGCGGGGTGGTCCGGGCACACATCGGCAGGCTTTAAATACTCTTTACTCTTTAAACACCTACAAATACAGCGGGCGGTGAGAGCGGTGGAGACGGTGGGAACGGTGAAAGCGGTGGAGGGGGATGAAGGTGGTGGGGGTGGTGAGGGCGGTGAGGGCGGTGTGGGCGGTGGGGGCGGTGTGGTGCTGTGGGCGGTGTGGGCGGTGTGGGCGGTGTGGGCGCGGGGGGGTCCGGGCACACATTGGCAGCCTTTAAATACTCTTTACTCTTTAAACACCTACATATACAGCGGGCGGTGAGAGCGGTGGCAGCCTTTAAATACTTTGTAAAAGTAAGGGCGGCGGTGGCGGTAGGGGCGGTGTGGGCGCGGAGGGGTCTGGGCACACATTGGCAGCCTTTAAATACTCTTATTTTTTTTTTGACACCTACAAATACAGCGGTGAGGGACTCTTTAAACAGGGCGGTGGTGGAGGTTGTGAGGGCGGTGAGGACGGTGGGGGCAGTGGGGGCGCGGAGAGGTCCGGGCACACATTGGCAGCCTTTACATACTCTTTAAACACCTACAACTACAGCGGAGAAAGACTCTCTGAACAGAGCGGTGGAGGCGGTGGAAGCGGTGTGGGTGCGGACACCTCTCGGGATATCACGGGCGCCGCCCGCAGGGGTCGGCGGATAAGTACCCTAAATTGAAGTTACCCCAATTATACGCCTACTTATAGCCTACTTACTAAGTCCCCTGCCCCTCCAAGTACACTCAAGTGTCCCGTAAGAGGCCCGACAAGCCTGACGCCCCAAACCCAAATCCTGAACAGCCCCAAGCCCCGCACGAAAGGGGTCTGGATAAGAAGTAATAGGATTGCCCCAAAATTCCTTTTTTGTGTTTACACTTGAAGATACTCCCAGAGCTCTATTCTAATCATAAAGGCTTCTAAACCCTCGTAGTAACCCTTATATAGTATCCCATAAAGACCCCTAAATCCTAAACCCCAAACGCTAAATCCTAAAGCCTAAATACCTCAAATACCCTTATTAGCTAAAGACCCTAAATACCCAAACACCCTAAACCCTGGACCCATAAAGACCCCTTTCAAACGAGAGACCTTGTGGATTCTAAAGTGAACCTCAGAAAGTTGAAACATGAATTTAGCATGATCCGCGCCGGGATTCCCTATACTTTACCTTAAGGGTATGAGGATAATGATGTTCCAACCTAAACCCTAAACCCTAAACTCTAAGAAGACCCAGGAGCCTCCCATAACCGTGAGTTTCGCCGACCTTAACTGCTAGGTGGGAAAAGGCGTTCAAAAAAAAACAAGACCCAGGAGCTGCGAACGAAGCAACGCTTACAGGAGGCCCGTGAGGACCTCCAGGCCCAGTCTTTCTTGTTGAATTTTATGATTTTTGTAGGGTTCGTAAGGGGGTCATGAGGGCTTGTAAGGGTTTAGGTTTATGGCTTAAGGGTTTAGGATTTAGGGGTTGGGGCTGAGGGTTTAGGGATTGCAGTTCGGGTTTCGGGTTTAGGGCTTAGGGTTTAGGCCCCGTCTTTCTTCCAGGGTTTGGGGCTCAGGGTTTAGGGTTTGGGGGCTTGGGAAGTAATGTTTAGGACTTAATGGTTTAGGGTGTAGGGCATAAGGCTTAGGGTTTAGGTAGGGCTTAGGGCTTAGGGTTCAGCGTTTAGGATTTGTTTAAGGTTTAGGCCAAGTATCTTTTCTTTACCCACTACAGCCTCATTGCCCAAGACCCTAAAAGCCCTAGATGGGTTCAGCGGTAAGGCTCTTGAGTTTTTTTTTCGTTTCTAGCTTCCTAAATAAGCCGTAAACCCTAAACCAAAATTTTGGGTTATGGTTTCTTTTTCCAGGGATCTTAAACCCTAAACCCTAAACCCTATCTCTACAGCCTTCGAGCATGTCGGACTGCTGCTTTAGTCGATTTGTCCAGCGTTTCCCATGCTCACCTCGCAAACTGGAAGCCCCATGTTTCTCAATGGCAGCTGTCCCTAAACCCTAAACCCTAAACCCTAAACCCTAAGCCCTAAACCCTTTGTTCTCTGTCAGCACGCTGTCTACGAAGAACTCCCACGGGCTGCTGTCAGACATCATCCTGCACACGAAAGCCTGTTTCAGGGTTTTCGAAGGTTTAGGATTTTGGGTCTAGGGTTTAAGGCGTCTCGGCTCGAGCCGTGTTTGGTGCTGTGTTCCCCTCTAGGGGTTTCGGTACCTCACGGTATACCAGACCCCAGCGCTCCGCGCGATAGTGGCACTTTCCCTGGGTGGAGGCCACTGGAACTCCTGAGTTCTTTGAGCTTTTGCTCCTGTGGGTATTCCTTACGCTGCCATTCGATTGGCCGTCAGGCACTGCCCACACCTGGACCTTCCCAGGTGCATGACCGCCCCAAGGCGGTACGGCCCTCTGTTTCCGCTAGCTGCCCTTGGCATCTGGTTGCTTATTTGGGGCCAGCACGGGCAAGAGAGTGTCTCGTGCATCAAGCCCTCCGTGGCACAGACGTGCCCGAAGGCAGCGAGCCTTCGCGAGGAAGAGGTTGCGCAGCGGCTTTTTCCAGGCCAGGGACATACGACTTCTTCTTCACCACCACGGAAGTATGCCTCCCAAAAATCCTGGTCAATCTGCTGCCTCACAACAAGCTGGAGCCAAAGGCAAGGGCAAGGGAGATGCCCAGCAGGTTTCCAGAGTGGAATTCGGACTTCCCCAAGGTGTTGTCTCGGCTCTGCAATCTATTCAGAACAGGTCTACGCAGGATCTGTGGGGTCCTGCAGCAGTGCTGGAGTCTCAAGCCACAGCGGAACAGCGATTCCAGCGCCGTTCCAACGCTGCCAATCGTCTATCCAAGCGCCTATCCGGCAACATGCGTGCGAAAGAGGAGCTGGCGACAGCGCTACAGCAGTGGTTTATGCTTGTGAGCCAACGCCTGGTCGGGCTTATTACCCAAGTCAGGGCGCTGGGCAGCAAGTTGGACGAGGACACCACTGTGGCGGCCGCCGAGATGAGGGATATTTTGGCAGCACAGCCCTCGGAGCTCACTACGGCTCAGGTTGTCAAGGCGGAGGAGACCATGGGCCCTATTTGGTCCCCTTCGCAGGAACACGTGGTGATGCAGTTGGCTGCAGGCCTCAAGGCTTTTGGAACAGTGCTGCCTGCACCCCTACCTACAGAGCCTGGACCGCACGCCCTCTTCGCCATGGAGCCTCCGCAGCTACCCTCCGGCCCTGTCCTGGCGCAGGACGGTGCTTCCGATGTCAGTTTTGGTCAAACTGGACTTCGCGACCTGCCTGGGATGACCCCGACCTCCACTCCTCTTGCAAACAGAGGTGCAGTGGTGGATGTCGAGCTACCCCAGGCAGCCCCAGTCCTTGGGCAGCCCGACTCCTTGAGCTTCGGGTCTATCGCTCCGACCGTGGTCTCTGGGCGATGGCGGAAGCGCAGTGCAGGCCATTCCGACCGGCCCTCGAAGAGCCCCAGGCGAGATCATGTGGAACCACCTTGGACAAGAGAAGCGACGGGCCGTACGCCCGACTCTGTGCAACGTGCTCCGCAAGTGGCTGTGGTCGACGACGGCCCCGAGCTCATCCCGGACCCTACGTCCAACAGTACGAGTCCTTGGACGGTGGCGTGGCTTGCTATGCTCCACTTCTGCACCGAGAACGGAGCGGACCTGATCGGCGAACTGAGGCAATGCTCACGTCAAGATGCAGCCCTGCCACTCACTGTGGATGCACAGGCCCAGGAGGTTGTAGCGCTTGCTGCCGAAGCTGTCTGGGAAGGCATGTTGCGTGCGGTGGCCAAACCGGAGCTGGCCCATCTCCAGTCCCTTCACCGAGATCTGCGAGAGGTCATGCAGCAGCTTTGGTTGTGTTCCAATGCCCTTCCGTCTGCCAGGCAGGGACTTCTTGTGGCTGCTCACTTGACTGCGGGAAGGATTGTGGACCCGTTCTCGTATGCGCCCTCAACAGCACAGGAGTGGCTCTTCCCGGACCTACTTCTCGAGGCCGACGCCCCGATCCGTGGCTTTATTGCAAAAGATGCGTCACAGGACTCAAGAGTGCAAGTGCTGCTCCGGATGCCATCACCCTTCCTCCGAGTGACCGACTCTGCGGACCCCACGGAGCTAGAGTGAATCGGCGAGAACACCAGCCGCTCTGCAACGGCTCCGACCTTGTAGCAGTTTGCCCTGCTGATCGTGCTCAAATAGGGTGTGTTTGTTCACACCTTATTTTGATCACGGTCAGCCTTTTCCTCGGGCGCTGCATCATAGTGTGTATAGCCATACGTAGAGTCTCGGCTGTCACTGAAAGGTTCTTTTCGGCCTACGGTCCCAGATTGTCCTGGCAACGCTCTTGGCAGCTTGGTTGCACCCTTTCTGCCTCCGCGTGGTGGGCTGCGGCAACTGTGTGCCCGCCCTTTGCCATGATGATGTGCGCAGGCATCAGTGAACTTCTTGCCTTCCTCCCAGGTTGGGGTATGGACTTTTACCCCCATGCCCTCCTTGCCCTGTCTTGGGCTTCGCATCACTGGCGCTGTGCTTGCGGGCTCGTCCTGCCTTTGGCATGGGTCACTCGCCTCAGGGCTGCTGTGTTTGGAGAACCTGGCGTGGCGTGCGGTGCTGGGGTCCTTTCTGCGGGTCTTAAGGTTCGGGGAGCTAGGCACCGTATTCCAGTGCGTCCGTGTCGGAACAGTGGGCCCTGCCTGAGGATGACGCTTCTGCTGCTCTACCTTTCAGTTGCCGATGGCGTCACTCTCCACCTCGGCGCGGCGGTTGTCTCCTCCTGGGGGCTGAGATCCTCCACTGCTGTGCAATTACATGCCCACGGCTTTCATGAGGGCCTCCCTGTCCTCAGCACGGGGCCGGTTCTGCCCACTCCTACTGCTGAGGAAATGTGTGAGGTTTACCCTGTCGGCCGCACGGGTAACTTGCTTCTCCCACGCACCGACCGCAGTCGTCGGCACCTTGCTGCCTTTGTGGGTACACCGCCTGGAGCTCCCATTCTCGAACCTTGCCCTGTCCCTTTCCTGGTTGACGAATGGTTGCATGGGCCGCTCTTGCATGCCCGGCTTGCTGCCACCTTGGGATTCCCTGCTGGTGTCTTCTCTGTCTCAGCCATCCGCGGGGTCCTTCCCGGCCTGCCAAGTGAGCAGCTTCTTCTCACTCCGGCTGCCTGTTCATGGCGTCAAGTCTGGCTGCCCGTTGACCTCCGTCCGCTAGGAGGCCGCATATGCATGCTTATGTGCCCCCGTGACTCTACTTGCAGAGCCATTGCGGTCCTTGCTCTCGCGGCTCAGACGATGCAGACTGAAGTTGACCTTCTGCTTGCTAAGTGCCCCTGGGGATGGTTGACGCTGATGTCCCAACCCCTCCTTCTGCAGGACGTCGACACTCTGCAATTTCATATTGGCCCAGCTGCTGATGCGCTGCAAGGACCTGTCGGTGCTTCTTTGGACCCCCCCCTTTCGTTGTTCTCGGCCATGCAGGTGAGCCTCCCGACGGCACCCTCAGCCCACGAAGCTTTCCCGGGCCACTCGCATAACCAAGCTGTCCTTATCACCCCTAATGGACTGGTGTATGTCGAAGCCCCGGTATTTGCTGACGCCGCTACGTTTCGACGTATTGTGTCTACTAGGGCATCTCCCAGTGCTTGTGGGGGGGTCCTCCGCATCTGGCATCCGCTCCCTTCCCTTCCCCTTGTGCAGTTCATGGAGGTACACTGTACTAGGGATGAGGTACCTTGCATTCTCGATTTCCGTCCAGTTGGCTGGAGGCTGACTACTGTTTGCGTTCCTCCTCCTGTTACTGCTCTTGCGGCTGTTACGGTTGCTTCTCGACGGGACCGCAGCAGCCTCCCCCACGAGTGGGTCGAACAGTGCGCCCGTGGCGGGTTCGGCCTCCTCCATCGAGAGCTTGCGGTATTACCAGATCAGGTCCTCACCAGCAGTGTCCCGATTGTTGTCATGTTCTTCCCGCATGTCTTTCGTCAAGACTCTTCCTCCTCCTCGGAGGACCAGGTAGGCGGCTGGGACACCCCGGGTACCTCTGACACCATTTCTGCGCTGCAGCACACCCTGTTGCCCTCCCCTGCTAGGGCTTCCTCGTCTACTGCCATGCCCGCTTGCACTGGAGTCACCCCGTCTGAGTTTCTCAACACCACTTCCCCCAGTGCCTTGGTGCCGGCCAATTCAGCGGCACTCGGGGTATTCTTTTGGCTGCTTGTGTGTTGCGCGGGCCGCACCATGGCGTCGGGAGCCTCCTTGCTTGGGGTGCGTGCCTCGTCATCTCCTGTGGGATGCCTGGTAATGCCGTTCAGATGCACAGTGCGCCTGCCACTCCTAGGGATGTTGTGGTTTCAGCTAATAGGGCTCCTGACCGTCAGGTTGCGGCACCAGCACCACACGCATTTACAGGCCAGGTGGCTTCAGGTTGGCGACTTTGGTGATGGACCGCTTTGGTCAGTTTTTCCCTCCGCCAGTGAGGTGTTTCTCATTACTTGCCGCCTTTGGTGGCCCGGATCTTCGGTCCGCCTTGAGTTTGCCAACACTGAGAGTGCTCGCGATGCTGCCGCCGAGCTTTACCGTCAGGCCATCCGAATAGGTCGCCCTCAGATTGTTGCTGCTTCTGCAGGCCCTACTCTTGAGGCGGTTAACCTTGTGGCTCTCCCGTCCCGCCCTGAGACCCTAACTGTTCTTCTGGACCTAGGTAGAGAGGTTGTCTGTGTTGAGCTGCCCAAGGAATACAGTGCTGATCATGTTCTTGAGGCTGCGCAGATCGCGGCTGCTTCGGCTGACGTCCAGATCCTTCGGGGCACGGCACATCGGCTTCGCCAAGGCGACGTGGTACGAGTGCGTGTCAACACTGAGGCGCGCACCCTCGATGTCTCAGCCTTTGTTATTCCACACAATGTTGGCACTGCATCGCGCTGGCTTCAGGAAGGCCGAATCGTGTCGCTGCTTCATCCTGTGGCTGGAGTGTTATCTTTCGAGGTCCCGCGTGCTTGCGACCTTGATACTTCTGTGCTGGGTGCGTTGTTGCGCAGCGTTACCCCAGGCCAGCATGTCTTCGTTGCGCTACCCGGAGCTGACCTTCTCCCTCATGCCGCCTTCGTCGCCGCCTTCCCTGGCCAGGACTGTGTCACATATCGGGTGACTGATGCGTCTGACCCCTCTGCTGTGGGTCTGCACTTGGCCTTTTCCGGCGTCTTTGAATCTTTCCCGGCCTTTTTGGAAAGTCTTCTTCGCAGCAACCGCCCCGCCGCTGCTCTGCTTCGAACTTTTGCAGCCCTTCGGCCTCTCTGTTCTAACCTGGGAATGCACTTCCTTTCCTGGTCGAGCTGACTGTCGCTACTGGCATGTCCATGTGCAGGCTGACTTTGCACGGGCCCGGGAGCACCTTTTGAGCCTCAGCTGGGAGCCGAGACTTGTTCGCACGCCTCCGCCCCTCCCTCCCCCTAGGGCTCGGGTTTTCCATAGTATAGGTTCCCAAACTAACGCCCCCTTCATTTCTGCCAGCACGCCGGCTGCTGTACTCCAGGCACCCCCGTCTGTTTGCGGTGCCGGTGTCACACCTGACTCTGCGTCCGAACTCGTTGACCTCTGGTGCGATGCATGGCACGTCAAGTGCCTGGTTGCATGTCTGCCCGGATTCACCGTGTGGGCCCTTCGAGAGGGGAGCCGACTCTACGGTATGTGCACCCCTGTCCCCTCCTGGGAAGCTGTTGCACAGGCCCTTTCCCTGTCCCTCTGGGAGCTACCACAAACGTTTCTGTCCAGCGACAGCCGTGTTTGGCCATTTCCCCGTGACATCACAGGTGTTGCGATGCAGTGTGTCAGTGTTGGGTACGACTCTCCTGAAGGAGTCTCCCAACTAGTGCGTAATTGCGAGGCCGAGACGCCTAGCCCGCCACCGCCCCCGGGCCCTTTGGCCTCTGCTGCTCTTGGCTTGCCTTGCTTGCGGCGGTACTCGCTTTTGTGTGCTCTCAGCCTCCTTCTCCCTGTGGTGTCAGTCCGCGTGATGGTTGAGCCTGCTCCCTTGTTCTCTCGTCTCGCGGAATCCGAGACACTGCAAACTCGTCGCGACTTTTCACGGCCCTGCACCATGTCTTGGACTCACGAGCTTGCCCGGCAGACGCACGGGTTCGCCCTTTCAGCACCTCAACTTGGCGCGTATGTTACTGGCGCCTCACCTCACCCAGAAGTGCAGATGCACCTTTGGCTTCCCGGGCAAGGCCCCGTCCACTTGAGGGTTGGTGCACGCCACCTCGATCAGCATCTTAGTGCTTACCTTGGCGCCTTCTTGCCAGACTGCGAGTACGGACTGCACGTCGCTTTCGATTCCAGCCCCCAAGTGCTTGATCTCATCGTTTCCCCGCCTTCACCATATGGCTGGTGGATACTGCGTGACTCAATCGGTTGTGAGCTTCTCCGACCGGTGGTCCAGCACTACACTTCCCATTGCTCATTCTTCTTCTGCGCTGTGGAGCCGGATGGGGCTGTCCATAACGTTGAGCCCTCTGCCGAAGTCCGACATATGTCTCCCTGCCCGCAAGGGGCTCGGGCACTTATTACTAGTGTTCTTCCGGGATTAGAGGGTAAACTGGTTGATGGAGTTCTTAAGATTGTCGCTGCCCGGGCTCGGCTCCCCTCGCTTCTCGGCAGTCTCGCGTTGCTCCTGCTTTGCCGCCACGTGGCCTCTATGCAACCTCCCCAACTCCTTGCTCTGGCCCCAGTCGCTGAGGCTTCGCCGCCTCCTCCGACAACCATTCGCATCTGGACTCTCAACATTAATGCACCCGTTGACCTACCATGGCGTCCTCAGGGTTACCCGACCCGTTGGTTGAGAGAGCTGATGTGCCGTCTTCACCATATTGACGATCCCGGTGAGTTCCGGCCCACACATTCCACTACGGACAGCTCCGTCCAGCATGTCCTTTTCGTGCCGGTCGTTCCTGCTACGCGACCCACGGTCCGGTTTTGGCTGCTCCACTGGGGGGACGCTGCGGCTGTTACTTTCGGGCATTCGCCCTTTAGTTGGGATGTCGTCTCTGCCCATCTCAGAGCTCTCTTCCCGGGGGGCCTTTTACCAGAGCGGAGCCCCGCTCTCTCCTACGCCGGTCAGCTGTACCCGCCAGGAGTTGCCTTGCCTGATTTTCCATCCGGAGCTGTCATTCAGATTTTGATTGGTGCTCTTGCAAGGATCCCGGGCGATGATGACCCTTGGAACCCGGATCCCCTGGTGGTTGAGGGACCTTACTTCCGGCATGTTCCGAGTAGGGGTCCAGCGCTAGAACCTGCCATCCTCCTCGATGGCCACGGGAACCGACGTGCCGCCGGCGCATCGCATGTGCCTTTGATTGACCAGGAAGTCCAAACGGACCTCTCAGGCAATGGCACCGGCCTTGATCATGCTACGGTTTCCCGAGTTCACATGCTGTCTCAGGAGCTTTCTTTTCACACTTCACGACTCTGGGCCGGACTTGCTGAACCGGATGCAGAACCGGCTGGGGAATCGCAACCTGTTCTGCGACTCGCCTCGCAAAGTACTTGTGCTGCGGTCAGCCCCTCCACTGTTGATCTGCTCGATATTGCGAGTGTGTCGAACTGCCGGCGACAGGATAGGCTTTCGGTGGTTGTTCTTTCCTTAGTCTGCACTCGGGGTTTATTTGGACCTTCGGCTTTCGGGCGCCTCCTTGTCCTCGCAACCGTAGGTGCAGGTTCGATTATCAGTGCGCCGCCTGCTAGTTCAGATGACGAACAGTCCGAGGATGCAGGCCCACCACCTGTCCAAGCCTTCAACATGTCTGCCGCTGAGCCCACCCCGGTCTCTCGACCTGCCGGCCCACCACCACCAGAGCCTGTCAATGCTCCTTTCCAGCCTCGTATGTGGTTCCTCCGCGCCGCCCGGCCGCTGGAGGACTATGCGCTAGGCCTCTGGCCGTCTTCAGTTGAAAGGGAGCCCGCCGCGGACGAGGACACTGTCCGCCGTGTTCAAGCCGATTTGCTTGGTCTTCAACGAGGCCTGCGGACCTTTGCTGCCGCTATTCCCCTTGGCACCCCCTTCTGCATTCACAATCCCTTCACCGCCCGACAGCAATGCGAGCTTGTTGAGTATTCTGCTGGCCCTGAGATCAATCCCTTTGTTTTATTCAGGGGACACGCCCGCAGCCGGGGTTGGGCCGATATTGTGCTCCTGCAACCGCAGCCTGATGCTACTGCTGTACACCTTATCGGGTGTCCGCAAGCACCTGGGAACGCAGCTGTCGGTATTGTGCTGGAAGGCCGCCTTGTGCCCTGCTGTCTCCCGGTCTGTGTTGGGACCGCGGCATTACGTGCTCTGCAGCTTGACGGGAGTGAGTACGATCTTCGCCCCCCTGAGGTTCAGGAAGGGTCCTCGGTCGTCCAGTTCCGCAATGGCGACTGTCTGGCTGTGCGACCCCGCTCTCAGTCACGGTCTCCTCCTCCGCCGGAACAAGTCGCCGCCTTTGCTGCCCTGACCAGCGAAGCTGAACTTGCTGCCGGCAGCCCCGACATCCCCTTCTCCTCACAAGGTCGCCCCGTTTTGTCTTGGGGCTGTTTCTCACTGATCTTCTGCCGGTTTACCCCATCAATGTGCCTCTCTCTTGGACTCCTTGCTGGCGCTGCTCTAGCACAAGGCATGCATAGACCAGGTGGATTTCCTTGGGGTACCGATCCAATCAACCGTGACTTTTCCGCCATTACGGCAGAGGACCCGGTCTATGTTGTTCTGCATAGTCCCTTCTTGGGGGTGTTTCCCCCATACACAGCCTCCCATGACACTCGCCACGGTCAAGTCTGGGCTCAGTTCCTCAACGACGACCCGGGATGGGCATCTGATTTCTTTCCTGTGTGGCCGGGCCCCGCCTTCAACGAGTTGTCTATGGTCCCGGTGGGACAAGATGCGGCCCTTGTGACCATTATGCTGATGTGGCGGGGCCACCATAGGGCCACGCTTACTCCGCGGACCATGACAGTGGCGTGGTTGACAGCCTTTATCTCGCGTCACATCAATAGCCCCGTTGATGGCATTTCCCTGCCGCACGGGCTCGCGATCTGCGAGCTCTTTGATGTTCCGCCCGCGGCTTTCCGTTTTCGCAACGGCGATGTCGTGTACATCCATGACCCTCCGGAGGACCCTTCTGAGCCGCTCGAGTTTGTCGATCCTTGGCACCTGCAGGATGGCCTTGCAGCTCCCCACGCTCCCTGGGCTACGGGCTTTCAACTTATGTTCGGCATTTCTGTGCACCTGCTTCGCCCTAATCGCCCACCCCTGTTGGCCTCTGTCTCAGCTGGAGAAGCCTGGTGCCCAGAATCCTTTACGTTCACCGGCACTTTCCGTAACCACTTTCCGGGCATGTGGACACCCGTTCAGTGGTCCGGTGCCCGGGCATTGCAATTGATCGAGGTCCATGGTGTTGCGGCTCAGGTTAACGTGGTTGCTGCCTCTCCCGAAGGCCGCCTCTGCCGTACCGTTGATCGGATCGCCTCGCGCGATAGCCTTGCCGATCAACTGCACTTCCTCCCTGGATCCCTGCAAGTGGGGGGAGTTCCCTCCTACGCTCTCAATCAGGCCTGTGAGCTTCGGAATGGGGATGTCGTGTTCGGCGACTTTGCCCGAGGGGCCTGCAGCGGCCGTCCACTTCTGTGGGGTTTGGCCCTGGGCCTCGTCCCAGCTTTCTCCTCCTGTCGTACGGGCACCTTTCTTTCGATTCTGCTGGGTTCCCTTGGGGCCCATTCCGGCTTTTTCTCCCGTCTTCTTATGCTGACCTGGTGCCTACATGGCGCGCAAGCTATGGTTCCGGAAACTTCGGTGTTGAGCCAGACCACATCCTCGGTTATTCCACCAGCTGCCCCACCCAGGGTCTCGGTCACTGTTGCCAACCCTTTTGCGCCATGGCATCGTGTTGAGGCCGACCCACGTCACCTTTTCGATGATGTTATGGCAGACGCCCACCGCACTTTGACATCATGGCACCGGGGATTTGCTGCCACTGGCCTGGTTTTAGAAGGGTCCCAGGTTGTTGTCCCTCTCCCGGGAAGTAGGCTGGTTTGCCTTATTGTCTTGGGTTTAGGTCAGATGCTCTGTGTCATCCTGCCGTCCTTCCTTACCCCTCGAGACCTCACTCAGGCCCTCCAGATGAGGCTTGGCCGTCGCGTGAGCCTTAAACTCCAGCCCGGATTGGGGGCCACCGCTCACTCTGATCGGCCAGTCCTCGCACTCCGTTCTGGGGACGTTCTAGCTGTCTGCCCTCTCCAACTGGACCCTCTCGCAGGGCCTCGCGAGCCCCCGGTGTACTTGACATGGGGTGCTGCCCATGCTGCTGCGGCCTGGCACTCTGATTTTGTGGTGGCCCAAGCCTCCTGTGTGCTTCTGTGGTCCCCTAGCCGTTCCGCTAGGGTCGTGTTGCTGGGCCATCAGGCCAAATGGGACGCAGCGGCAGCTACAGTGCTACATCATGAGGTTGAGCTTGGCCACCACCGCTGGGCCCCCTGCCATGGACATCTAGGCGCTCCCCCCTGGCTCGTCGAGCAGTCTCCCTCTCAGGGGCATGCCAATATTATTCAGTCTAGTGGGGCCACAAGGTGTGTTGAGACCGCTCGGGACGCTGCGCATGATTTCTATATTGCCGGGTACTCCCTTCGACCTGCCTCCAGCCGGGCTTGTCAGGTTGCTCAGACTGGGTTCTTTCTGCTGCATTCGGTCTCCTGGGGAGGCGCCCTCTCCTCCCTGCCCAACTCGCTCTTGTCTTCTTCGGGCTTCTTGAACCTGTGTGGGGAGCGTCCTCCAGTGCCTCTGGCCGCTGCCCCAGCGCGGACTCTTCCGAGGCGCGTACCATCCGCACTAGGCGACGGCCCAGCAGAAGTCGCTCACCCTCCTATCCCTGGCCTGGAAGGTTCTTTCCCCCTGCCATCGATTTCAATGATGGGGAGCCCTATGTTCCGCTAGGTGGCTGGCAGCCCGATAACCCTGATGGCCCACTCGCACGTTACTTCCCTGGTCCCCGACCACTCACGGCTCGTGTTTTGTGCCCCCTGAGGGGCTGGAGCGAGACCAGCTTCCTTGACACGACCAGATCATGGCGGTCTATCGAGCAGGAAGGTACGCGCCACTGCGGGCTTTGGGCCCATCGCTTCTTCCCTGTCCGGGCGGTGCTCCCAATTTCGCAGATCACAATCGCTCCGGTTGCCCCATACGGTCTTGCTACTGTGGCCCTGCACATTGAGGGTTGTTCGGCCGTTGCTTTTGCCTCGGTGGACTCGTCTCTCGATGACATTCACCGGCTTGCTGTTCGCGTCTTTCCTCACACCCGGTTTTGGCGCGTCATAGCACCACCTGTGCTGCGCACTACCATCCCGAATGCGCATATCCGGCTCCGCAACGGCGATGCTTTTAGCCTCCTTCCCGAGCCTTCCGATCCGGGTGCTACCCGTTATCCCTTGCTGCAGTATGCCTCTCTGGACCGGGCACGGCAAGTTGCCAGCTGGTCGCTCCCTTTTCGCTTTGACTCGGGCGGCTACGTCTGCCTGTGGTATACGGGCCGTCGATCTGGCCACAGTATTCGGATCAGGGATACCGGCTATTGGGATCCCGAGGGCCCCACCTTCTGGAGTCTTAATGGCAGAGCGCTGTCAGGGTCGTGGGTCCCTGTCCTCTCTGGGGATTTCTCCAGTCTGCACCTGGTACACAGCACCTCCACTGGTGAGGCCCATGTCCTTCTCTTACTGCCCCCCGATCTTGAGCCTCAGGGGTTGTTGCTCGCTGGTTGCAATGCCTACCGTGCACCACCTGGGTGGCGCCTTCTACCTGCTCTGCAGTACGTTCGGGCAGACAGTCCTCTCCGAGATGGAGATGTCCTCGTGCTGGACCCGACTGCTGATACGGTTTGGGACCCTACCGGACCGCCCCCGCAAAGCCTTGCGGGTCCGGCCCCGGGCCCAGTTGCGCGCCCATGCTGGGGGCCCTCGTCTTCTGCTGCCGCCGCCATCTCTGGTCGCTGGGCTTGGCTTGCGGTCCTTTCGGCCAGATGGCCCCGGCTTCTCGCCCTGGCTTGCTTGGTTTGTGCCGGTCAGGGTATGGCTCCCGCACTGGATTTGCCGGAACAGCCAATTCGTGTGGGTTTCTTCCCGTGGCGGGCCGCAGCCGCTGCGGCTGATCTGGTTGATCTCACCAACCGCACAGAGATTGACATTGTCCTTCTTAGTCCCTTCACAGGTCCCCAGGAGGCTGGGCGACTGCCCACTGCCTCGACTACCGGAGAGCTCAATGCTCTCACACGCTCCTGCGACCCAGCTTGGGGTGCTGAAGTTGCACCTGTGTGGCCGACAGCTGCCATACCGGCCCTACTGGTTGTTCCCCGTCCCCTGACGCCAGACCTTGTCTGTTTAGCGGTCTCCTCCTTGGATCGGCACTTCTCTATCCTTGTGCCCTGCACTACCTCTGTGTCCTGGCTGGGCGCGGCTCTCCGCTTCCTACAGCCGATGCAAACTCTCTCGGTTCGTGCACCCAGTGCTCTCACAGCCGATGCCACATCTGACCAAGGCGTGCGCTGGCGATCTGGAGACCTGGTTGTTGCATTGCCTCCTGCAGCTTTTGCGCCCGAATACCAGCCCCCGTGCTTTCATTCCGACGCTCAAGTGCGGCATTGCGCCATTTGGGCTGTTGATTTCTCGGTCTCCACCCGTGTCAACTTCATACTCTGGAGGCCTGCTGTTCGAGCCATCCGGGGACACGCACCGGCAGGCAGCCGCTGGCGTGCTCTTGATTATACTTTTGATGGTGACTTTAGCCTCCACTACCCTGGGCGTTGGGTTCCGGTTCCCTGGATCGCCCAGGATCACGCCCACTTGGTTTTGCTGCCGGAGGACCCTTCGAGGGTCAATGTCATTGTGGAAGCAGACGGCCATTGCTGGTGTGCCCTTGTCACAGCCGTTACCGATGCCTGGCAACTCTGGACTGAGCTCCCATCTATCTCTTCTCAGCCCCGCGTCCTTGGTGTCCCACACCAGGAACTGCGCCAAGGGACGACCCTTCGCAGCGGCGATGTTGTTTCCGGCTGTCCAGGACTCTCCCCCTCCTGTTGGCTCCCCTGCTCTTTGGGGCTTGCAGCTTGGTGGGCACTCGGCTCTGCCTCTTCGGCCCCTGGCTATCTTCTCATGTTTGCTGGGCTGCTCGCTCTCCCCCCGGTGTCGGGGGCACGTCTTCCCCACGAGGGCGGCAGTCGACAATGGTCTTTGGCAACGTCAAACTGTGACGGGTCAGCTGCCGAACCGCCTGGCTTTCGCCACCGCCTCTGGGACCCCGCTAGGGGCCTCCTTGGACCTTTTCCGGGACCATCTCTGTTTGTCCCACCTGCTCTCCAGGAGGCCGCACCCGCTTGGTCCGATTTCACCAGGGTTCGACCACCTCAGGACCACCGGTTCATCGATTGGGTCCCGGTACCTTCGGCTCCGCTGTTTGCCACTGTGCTGCTCCAGTGCCCGCCTGCCACTAGAGCTGCACTTCTTCCCGCTACCTGTGCTGTGGCTGATCTTGCACGAGCCAGCAGCCACTTTATTCCTGACTTGTCATACGTCTTGGCTCCCCCGGAGGCTTGGTGCGGTACTGCTACGACCTGTACCCCCACCTTATTCCTCCGGTCTGGTGACGTCTTGACTCTGGCCAGCGCGCATTCACTTACCCATGCACCAGCAGGTCGAGGGCCCGCTGTCCAGTGCCCTTCCACCGAGGTGCCCTGTGCGGCTCCGTCGCTAGAGCCCCAGCAACCGTTGCCGCTAGCACCCTCGCTATCCCTCCGCATTGTTACGGCTAACGTTCAAACCATGCGGGACTCTTGTGCCTCCTTCTTCAATCCGTCGGGTCATGGCCAGCGGCGTCAATACTTGTACTCTCAAGTCGCCCAGTTGGGCCTCGATGTGGTCTGCCTTCAGGAGACGCGCAGCAAAGGGGGCCGATGGGATACAGCCGGCCTTCTCACCTGGCGCTCCGGTGCCCAAAAAGGTAGCTACGGTTGCGAAATTTGGGTTAGGCCCCAGATGGTTAACCCCCCCCTCCGCCTGGATGATTGGCGGATTGCCTGTGCTGACCCAAGACTTTTAGTCATAGTCTGTAAACGGGCGGACCTCCCTTTGGCCGTTGTAGCGGCGCATGCTCCACACGCCGACAGACCAGTGCCCGAAATCCACCACTTTTGGTCCTCACTGCAATCTCAGCTGTGCCAGCTCCCACGGGCCCTCACTTTAGTCCTGGGTCTCGATGCTAACGCTGATCTCCTTTGGGCCGATGACGACCGTGCCTATATCGGGGATGCTCTCGGTAATGGTGAAGAAGGCGCGGGCGAGCAAGGCCTCTTTGATACCATCCAGCGTTTTGGCCTCCTCGCCCCCGCCTCCTTCTCGGACCTTCAGGACGGCCCGGGCTGGTCCTGGGAGCATACTGGCGGCACCCGCAAGCGTCTAGACCATATCTTGCTCCAGGCTGGCCCCTGGTCCTGCCGTCGCACCCGACAGCTTCCTGAGCTGGACATTCTCAATGGTCGTCGGGATCATATGCCGCTTCTGGTCGAGTGCGACCTTCGGGGCCAGGCCACCGGCCCAAAGCGCCGGCCCCACCCCGCGCAACTGTGCACCAGGCACGGGCCATTGCTGCCGATCTCTGGGGAGCTCTGCCGTCCACCTTCCGGCACATTGACAGCGTGGGAGCTGAAGTGCAGGCTCTTAAGACCAAGCACTCCTGCTTGCTCCGGGCCCTTCCTCGCCCTCCACGCCGCCCCATCCGACAGCCCTACATCACAGCGGCCTCTGTTGCCGCACTCGATCGAGTTCGGCAGGCGCGAGAACAGCTCCCCCGGCTGCGGACCAATCTGGAGTGGCAGCAGCGTCGCTTTCTCTTGCAAGTCTGGCGTCTGGGTTGCACACACCGGCACCCCGATGCTGCACCCCTGCGCCCTGATCCGACGGGCCTGCAGCATGCCCGCCTCCTTCTCCAGGCTTGTAATCTTCATGTTCGGGGGCTTCAGCAGAAGGCCCACTATCTTGCTAGGTCCGACAAGCTGGCTCATTTCCGCACACTTACTCTGGAAGCGACCAAACACTGGGAAGCTACTGGAGTCCCTCTGGAATCCATCCGGCATCTGCGTTGGGCCTCCCGCAAGGCACACGAGCGCCGGTCTGTCCACGCAGCCGGTGGTTTCGACATTGATAGTGAGTTGGAGGCCCAGTTCCGTGATCAGGAGGGGGCCAGTCTGGTCAGCCCAGTGCAGCTCTCCAGCGCCGCTGAGCGATGGATGAATGAACCGCGCCTCCCGTGCGCCGAGGCGGTTCCCACCCTCTTGCAGATGGAACAAATGTGTGTCCGACAGGCGGCCGCCAAGGCCCCAGGACCAGACGGACTGCGGAACGAGCTCTGGCGCGCGCAGGGAGCCTCAGCAGGGCAGTGGCTCTGGCCCCTGTGCGTGCGCATCGCTCTCCAAGGAAGGGAGCCTTTTGCCTTTAAGGCTGCCATTGTATGCGCCCTTTACAAGAAGGGCCCTGCCTCTCTTCCTGCCAATTACCGCTCTATCGCGCTATTGAACGGCATCGCGAAGCTCTGGCATTCGCACCTACGCTCCACTGTGGGTGGCCACGTCTTGTCGCGATACGAGCCTATGCAGCTTGGGGGCCGCAAAGGTGTCCACACAGGATTTGCGTTGGCCGCCTTCCGTTGTGCCTGGGACCTTTCCATCTCTGCCGGCCGATGTGTTGCCGTGGTCTTCGTCGATATCCAGGCCGCGTACTATGAGGCCAGCCGGGATCTCCTCTTTGAAGGCTTTCCTGATGACGTTGCCCTGCCAGAGCATCACCACCTTGCTGGGCTGGTTCTCAGCCTTCAACAACAAGGGGCCCTAGCTGCCTTGGGGGTTGCAGAGGACGTTGTTGCGCTCCTCCGTGACTGCGTCGCCCTCTCCCACTGGTCACTCTCTGGCTCTTCCAACATTTTTCTTGCGTCACGGGGGTCTCGTCCAGGTGACGGCCTAGCTGATATCCTTTTTGGGGCCCTCTTCGCTGTCGGTCTTCAGCATATCCAGCGCGTTGCCACCCGCCAGGGCATTGTTCACACCAGCGCCGGCGCTGAAGTCGGCCTCTCCCCAGGGGTCAAGCCCATCGGCTGGGCTGACGACCTTGCGGTTATGGCCGATTTTGACCGACCAGCTGATCTTCTTGTTCAACTGCCCGTGCTGGTCGGCATTATCCTTGACACTCTCCGACTCCTCCGATTTCGTGTTAATTTGGGTGCGGGTAAAACTGAGGCCCTTGTTGACATCCGGGGGGAGGGCGCTCGGGCGGCCCGCGGAGTTCTCCTTACTGGCGATGCCATGTTAAAGATCTCTGATTCTGACAGCATCAGGTTGTGTCCCGAGTATAAGTATCTGGGTGTGGCTCAGCTGCCTCGGGATACGGGCCGCCGCGATTGTGAGCTTGCCGCCCAACGAGGCGCCGCTGCGGCCTCCCTTGCCCGCACCCTCCTCTGCAGCAATTGCTTGCCCTGGGAACTTAAACGGGCTTGGGTCGCGGGACGAGTCCTGCCCTCCGCGTATTCCTCCCTTGCTATGTCTCTGGCCGACTCCGGCCGTGCCACGGCCCCTCTCGCTGGCCTCTTCGATCGCACGGCCAGGATCCTGTTGTCCTCGTGGCAGGTCGGGCACAAGCTCACCACCCCACTGCTTCGGCTCCTCGCTGACATTACTCCTCCTGACCTGGCTACTACCATCAGTCAGTGTCGCCTTTGCGTCCAGCTCTTTTGCAAAGCACCCACGGCGGTGCGTGAAATCGTCGACGCGGCGTGGAACAGGGCCCTCCCTTGGTGCCAGGCCCTCGTTGCAGCATGTATGAGGGTTGGCGTTGCGCTTGAAGTTTGGGACCCTAACTCCCCCCCCGCCGTCACGGTTCTGTTTGTTCATACCCACAGCCGTGCCCTCCTTCGCGCCTGCAAGGCACTCAGCAAGTTTGGACATAGGTACTTTGCCTGTGCTCAGCTGTGGGATGACCTCTCTACCCGTAAGGCCACCCAAATTCTAGGACCCCCCCAGGCCCATCGATGCCCGGTGTGCAGCATCATCTTCCCGAGCCTGCACGCGGTCAGAGCCCACATGCATCGCAAACATGGCGTGCTGTCCGATGTGACTGCCTACATGGCCGGCTCTGTTTGCCTCTGGTGTATGCACGATTTCCACTCTTCGGATCGGCTGAAATACCATCTGCAATCCCACCGGGCCTGCTTGCATGGACTTCGGGTGACGGTAGGGCCTGTCTACCAATATGGGTCGGGCACCAAACGCAAGGGTAGAACGGCCCACAGGGGTGTTCCCCCACAACGCCTATGCGGGCCCTGCAATGCCACCCCAGCACAGCGTCGGGCCGCGGATCTGGGCCTGCCTGCTGATGAGGAGGAGCTGCAACAGGAGTGGGATACAGTGCAGCGCTCACCGGCCCTCTCCGACCTCGTCCCCGGCAACCTGCAACGGGCCGTCACAGGGTCCTCCATTGCTGCTCCAACCCCTGCCGGACTTGGCTCTCTCCAAGCTACGGCTCCAGTTTCGGAGCCCTCCCTGTCTCGCCTCGCCTCATCTTTGTCATTTGTGGGTTCCTTGCCCTCTTGGTTCTCCTTTGTCGATGGGGCCGCCTCAGGCAAGGATTGGGCTCTGCCTACACCCTGGTGGCCCGGGCTTCTCGCCATGGGTGGGGTCTTTCGGCTTCCCCCATCGTGGCATTGCTTCTGGCCCCTGTGGTCAGCCTTGGAGCTCCTTGCCCCTTGGGAGTTCCGGGCCTTCCGGTCGCTTGGCGTCCTCCGTCGCGCCTCGTCTTCCGGGCTTGGTGCTCCTGTGTCTCTTGGCGATGCGACCTCCGGCAGATGGTCTCTGTTGGGGATTGCTGCAGCCTTGATCTCCTTCCGCATGTCCTGTAAGGTTGTTCTGCGGTTTGGCGCCCTCTGGATTCCCGGGCGCCCCAGTCAACAGGGCCTTGTCCTCTTGCGGCGGCTGCTTCCTTCTGCCGTCTTCTTGGACTTCTGGTCCCCTGCTGGTCCTGTTTTCCTGGCTGCGAGCTCTGCTTCCTTGGCCTCGTCTGCTCGCGCCATCATTGCCGGTTCTGCTCCTGCGGCCCCGCCCCCGCTTTCCTTGCGGGCTTTCTGGGCCTATCCGGCTGCCTGAGGCCTTTCGTTTTGTACAGGCTCCCTCTTAGTTTCTTTCTAGTTTGGCTACGATCCTACAGCAGGATCGTTTTTGGCCGTGCATGCTTTAGTTAGCACAGGACTCCCCTCTGGCATCAGTGAAGTGAAGTCTAGGGTTTAGAAGAGCCCCATTAAAAGGGTTCTGAGGATACTATAAGGATACTATGAAGGTTTAGGGTTTAGAGCCCTTTTTGGGGTTGGGTTTAGGGCTTGAGCCTATCTTAGGATCTTTTTCAGTTGCAGAGCGTGGTCTTCACGAAATGTTAGACCTCGTCTTGCTGCCCTCGAGAATGTCATGTTCAGTTCAGTTCTAACTTTGTCCTGCTTGCTGTTGGACTTGGTGGTAAGGGGTCCAGGGTTTCGTTTGTAGCTGCAATGATGGTTTGGATGTTCAGCAATGTTAATACAGGGGCCAAAATAATTACCCATACTATTTTGGGGGCTCCTTATTTTAATAACAGTACGAGGGGCGCCAAAACCTTATTTAACCATTACGGCCCCTATACTATAGTACCTTTATTATAGAGCTCTTATAGTAACCCTTATAGTTCCCCTTTGCAGGAACCCTCTTCCAATGATTAAAGCCCCTGTATTATTCCTTCCCCCTGTTAGGTAGTTTAGGTTTATTGCTCAGGGATGGCGCCCGGAAGTTGACGTGAAGGTTCTGCGGTTTAGGGTTTAGGGCTTAGGGGAGATGTGCACAATTAATGGCAGTATTCCTGAAGGGTTCGCTATTGCAGAAGATAGCCCCAAAACCCTACCCAAGTCAAGTGATTCGAGCCCGGATTTCGCCATGAAAACCCTGAGCCTTCACCCCCACTACATTGTGGAAAATAGATCACAAGGCCCAAATCCTGCACAGGTGAGCCTTGAGGTCGTTCGTTCAGCGTTCAGGTCTTTAGGATTTGGGCTACTGGAATTTTGGATAGTTTCCGCGTTCACCCTAAGGTTTCGGGTTTGGTTTGGAGTTCAAGGGGGGTCGGGGCCACTAGACAAAGCAACCGGTTGGCTCACAGCGCAGCAGAGCCCAGCATCTTCTCTACTCCGCGCTCTCGGCCAGAAATACCTGATACAGGGGCCTTGAGGACAAGAGTAGGGTTTGGGGACGAAGCTTTTCCTAGGGATTGGAAAGGAAAACACAGCTTTCCTGCTTCAAAGCTGAATGCTAAACCTCGAAGCTCCCTGCAGCCCGTGGCCCCCCCTTGGTTTATCTTGCACATGAAGCTCCAACCCGCCTTAGAGTCTGGGATGAACGATGTAGGATTCGGGTTTAGAGCAAACCGCACACCTCCAAGCCGTCGCCCATGGCTGAGCGCGTGAGCCTCGATGACCTCGATGCCGAGTTGATTCAGAAGCTGAAGGCACGCACGGATGACCAGGCAGGGGAATTGCGAGGTATCCTTGGGGCCAAGATACGTAAGGCAAGAAAGGCGATGATGTTGACCGTGCTGTAGGAGAGGATGATGAAGCTACTCATACGCAGATATGCGGATTACGAAGAACAATAAGAAGATGATGATGCTGCTGACGATGACACTGGTGATGACTATGGGATGAGGATAATCGTGGTGACGGTGATCATGGTGATGACAGCGTGGTGCGGATAATGATGGTGGTGATGATGGTATTAAGCTGACATTTGAGTGATGTATATTTCGGCTACTTCGTGTAGACGACCTCGACGGCACGCATCTGCATTAGCGCTGCTGCTCCTTCAGCAGACCCTAAACCCTAAACCCCTAAAGCCGAAACCCTATGCAAAATTCAGAGGTCTACCCCTACCCCTTGTCCTTTCCTGACTCCTGCCGAAGTGGCTGGAGCTGCCACAGAAACTGCTTCAAACTGGTGCTCTGAGAAAACAGCGGACCCCACGACTCTGACTAAATTGCGGGAACTGCTCATTCTTACGACCCCTATTTTGCAAGTCTGTTTCTCAACCAACACCCATGCCAGAATCAAGACACATCAGCGGATTTTGCAAAGACCTGGTTGTGCCGACACTTCGAGCACTCACAGGGTGGTTGCGAAGGGTTTCCTTTCGCAAAAAGCGGTCGGTGGCTCATAGTAGCAAAGCTTTTCTCGCCTCCGCCCGTTTCGAAGTTTGCGAAGTTTCAAAACTAAGACCTAAGCCCTAAACCCCCAAATTCGGAATCCCCAAACACTTAAATCATCTGGTGCTGAAGCTGATATGCTAAAGCTCTAGACTCTAGGCCCTGTACCTGCTTGCGAACAAAAACGACCCCTCAAAAAACAACCCTAATCCCTAAACCTCTCCTTCATATAGTAATTTGAACCTTAATGGATTCGCGGGCAAGGCCCAAAATTCCCTACCAACCTTAATGGATTCGCGGGCAAGGCCCAAAATCCTACCAACCTTAATGGATTCGCGGGCAAGGCCCAAAATTTCCTACCAACCTTAATGGATTCGCGGGCAAGGCCCAAAATCCTACCAACCTTAATGGATTCGCGGGCAAGGCCCAAAATCCTACCAACCTTAATGGATTCGCGGGCAAGGCCCAAAATCCTACCAACCTTAATGGATTCGCGGGCAAGGCCCAAAATCCTACCAACCTTAATGGATTCGCGGGCAAGGCCCAAAATTTCCTACCAACCTTAATGGATTCGCGGGCAAGGCCCAAAATCCTACCAACCTTAATGGATTCGCGGGCAAGGCCCAAAATCCTACCAACCTTAATGGATTCGCGGGCAAGGCCCAAATCCTACCAACCTTAATGGATTCGCGGGCAAGGCCCAAATCCTACCAACCTTAATGGATTCGCGGGCAAGGCCCAAAATCCTACCAACCTTAATGGATTCGCGGGCAAGGCCCAAAATCCTACCAACCTTAATGGATTCGCGGGCAAGGCCCAAAATCCTACCAACCTTAATGGATTCGCGGGCAAGGCCCAAAATCCTACCAACCTTAATGGATTCGCGGGCAAGGCCCAAAATCCTACCAACCTTAATGGATTCGCGGGCAAGGCCCAAAATCCTACCAACCTTAATGGATTCGCGGGCAAGGCCTAAAATCCTACCAACCTTAATGGATTCGCGGGCAAGGCCCAAAATCCTACCAACCTTTAGGGCCTAGGGTTTGGGCTTTGTGTTCTTTACTGCAAAATGCACAACAAAGGACATTAGCAAAATGAGACTATCATTTTCTGTAACCTAGTTCTTGCTTAAGCACCCACCACATCCATAAATTAGCTCTTGCTTATTATGGAAGTGGTGGGTGCTTAAGACCACATCCATAAATTGGCCCTTGCTTACTATGGAAGTGGTGCGTGCTTAAGCAAGGGCTAAATTATGAAGAAACTTGTATATCCTAGTGTTATGGGATTCTTTGGGTGGCTACACAGCTTTAGTTTATGTTAATGCTGTTAATGTTAAATAACGTTCGGCGATAATGGTTTTAAGCTGTGAGATGAATTGAAACTTTGTATGCTCTTAATGTTATGGGATTCTAAGGGTGGGTGGGTATTATTCCTACACCATAAGCACAACCCAACTTTAAAACTGCTCGACCGGGAGCTGCTGAACCTAAAACCCTAAACTCTAAACCCTAAACCTAAAACCCTAAACCCTAAACCCTAAAAAAGAAAAACCTAAAACCATAAACCCCCGACCCCCCCCGGCCCGAAGCCCCAAATCCCCAAGTCTAAGCATAAGCCTAAATGCCCCAAAGTCGAGATACGAGAAGCTGCTCCCTTTGAGGTCTTCCAGGGTTTAGGGTCTAGGGTTTGGTTTAGGGTTTAGGTTTTAGGGTTTAGAGTTTAGGGTTTAGGGTTTAAGATTTTAGGGGTTAAGGGTTTAGGGTTTAAGCCTTTAGGGGTTTGTCATGAATCCTTATAGCCCCTATCAAGGACAGTTCTGGCATAATAAGCTACTTACGGGCCCCGTGTCCCTAAACCCTAAACTGTAAACCTAAACCCTAAACCCTTAAATCCCCGAACCTGCGTTTTCGGACAGATGCACGAGCTGCACACTTCATCGGGCAGCACTGACGCCGACTCTGTGTTGGGCAAAGCCTTACAGGCCTCCCAGTGGAGCAGTCAGAGGTTTAGGGTTATGGTTCAGGGCTACGCGCACTCCGGGACCGCATCCCGCAATCAACTTAGCCTGAGACCCCAAAACCTAAAGCCAAAACTCCAAAAAACTCAAGTCCGGTCCCTTTGTCTTAGTTACCCTAGTTTTTTTGACTTCTCCCGTTTCGCGGAGCAGCTGACTGCCGCGGGATTTAGGGTCGAAGGCTTATGGCTTTCCATCTGTATCAGCCATAGCAGGGCATAGTTCAGAATTTGGTCTTAGGGTTCAGGGTTTAGGGTTTGGTCTTAGGGTTTAGGGTTCAGTGCTTAGGGTTTAGGGCATATAGTTATAGGGTGGGTTCAGGGTGTCGGGTTTGGGGCTTCTTACCTAAGCGCTAAGTGCTTTCTTGGCCTGAAGCAGTACACAGGCATGGTGGTGTACAGCAATCTTTCCCTACGCATTACAATAAAACAGAGCAGTAGGAATTAACAAGAACAATATCCATAACAATCATATTCATCATCATCATCTTCTTCTTCTTCTTGCTATTGCTATGTCCACCGTCGTCCGTAAACCTTCACGTGGACTTGGCAATGAGATGCCCGATCCTGATGATGTTGATGACGATGCTGGTGATGGTGCTTGGAAGGGCGGGGGACTTAGTAAGGGCTCTTAAAGGGCTCCTTAAAGGGATCTACAGGGTTCCTTGTAATGCATAGGGAAAGATTGCTGCACACCACTTGAAAGGGCAGGGGGCTTAGTAAGTAGGTTGGAGTTACCCCAATTACAACCCTACTTATAACCTACTTACTAAGTCCCCTGCCCTTCCAAGTGGTTGTGGTGAGGAGAACCCTGATGTCTGTTTAGAGACTGTCCCGGATGCGAAACAGAAGGACCTTGGGTACGGCCCCCACTCAGTAATAGTTGAATAATACTCATAACATAGATATACTA